TATGGTGTTGGTGTTCAAGTAATTACTTCTCCGTAGATGATGTGGATGGATTTAGTCTGTGTTCTGGGGCATGGTTATGTCACCATTCCAGTGGATGCTCTAAATCAAAAATCTGTCAAATTCTTCCTTTGCCACCAGTGGCAAATACAGTGCTAGAACAAGTATGGTTTTGTATTGCAAACACATTCACCACCTCATTCATTCTTAATGGACAATGGACACTAACTCAGCCAAAATGATTTATTGGCAACATAGCCACTGACAATTAAGGTTGGAAAAATCATGCCAATAAATGAAGTTCATGCAACTCATGACTGAATTAATTCATCATATGTACTGCAACATTATAAAACTGGAAATAGATATGACAGCATATAGACAGACAGTAGATGACAAATTTACACAGAAATATTCCCATCTTACTTTTATAGAGCAGAAGAGTTGTTAACCTGAAAATAACAATAATACATAACTCCCTCATCATACAAACAACATTCAAACATATCAAACAGCAGCAAGTTCCAGAACACAAACAGTAGATCAGACAGAAAATCAGTTCACTGACAATATAGCAGTTGCTAGTGGAAATGTACAGTATATAGTATGGCATACACTAGTAAAAACAAACAACAATTGCAACCAATGACACTACAGACACAGAATTAATTAACACACGTGAATTTATTTTAAGAAACTCTCACTAAATATAAACAATTTAATTGACTTCACACACAAAAAATACCCAAAATATATCTACCAAAACAAGTAGGGAAAATCTTATACTATCTAAATACACACATATTACTAAAATACTTTCATCCAGACTCAACATTTTCACACATACATACATTAATTTATTGTGGTATAGTTATTGCAGTTGTGTAACATAAAATGGCCCTAAACTATAACAGACACATTCAAAACTCAGACAAATCATAGACTTACCCAGAAAAGAAGACTAGAAATACGTACATAACATTTCTCTATATATATGACAATGTTTGTTTGCTATGCATACCTAGGCTATTCAACCAATTGCTAAGAAACCTCAACATTTACGTTAACATACTTCTAACTTAGATAATGTCATGAATATCACCCCAAAATATAGATTGGATTTCTATATATAAATTAATTTTTATCTGTATTAGATTTGCTTGGTTTACTTGTAGTGACATCTAATTGGCAAAAAATCTAAGAAAATAATAATTAAATATAATTCTTAAAGTGGATATAATTTTAAAAATATATATTATATTCACTTAATTACTGCTACAATGCTAATTACTGTGACAAGTAGCACAAAGCACTTGTTTGCATGGAATTGAAAGTGTTACCCTGTAAATAGTCTATAAGCATTTAATTTTCCACATTTAGCAACTCAGGTTTTTTCATTTCTTAACAGTACTATCTTAATTCTAATAAGTGCCTTCCAGTAGCTGAGTGGATAAAACTGCTGAACACTGGTAGTTGGTTGTGGGTTTGGACATGACCAGTGGGCTGGCCACGTGGAATTTTCTGGGTTTTCTTTACATTAGTAACACCTAAATAGGGACCATTTTTATACAAGTTTTTCTGGGATGCATCCTCCTTGGCAGATCTCTCAAGTGTTGCATTACTGTAACCAAATAAATTAAACTAATTCTAATAATTTTTCTATAAATGCGATATTTATGAGGACATACTTCACACAGTTTATAAAATCTGTTGCAAAAATATAAACACTTTATTAGAACATAAAAACAATTATTCTTGCATTTTTACAAGATTTTTTTATTTAAGTAAGTTTTATATGACATCTTTTGATTGTTAAGGTTAGCAATTTCAATCACATGCAGGGCCATCACATCCTATCCGACACAGATCACTTTTCAAATATTAACAGTAGACCAATATTAATTACTAGTTGTTGATCATCCTCTCTTCAAGGAGGAGATAAATGACTACTTTTGGTTGAATTACTTCAATTCCCTTCCACAACAGTCCTTTCTTTCTATTGGACCAGCTATGTTGTGGCATTTGAGTCAGAAAATTACATAATACAAGGTACTGGTGAGCACAAAATATGTTTTAAGTAGTTTTCGAGGGTGCCAAGTTTAAATATTTGGTCTGTTATTCACAAAATTTGATTTATTGGCAGATTACCATTTGATATTCAACTGTGAATTGTACAGTTTCTTAAAGTTAACATTAGAAAAATTTTCAATTCCTGTCTACTTGACCATTGATAATGTGCCATTTCATATCATCTGAGCATTGCGATAAACATGACAATGATAGGATAAAATGACCAAACTATTTATGTTTGTTATATTATCGTATTTGATTTGTATTTACAAAGGTTATCTTACGTAAAATTTATCACACCGGGTGACTAATCTAACACATAGCCCTGATCTATTATTCCTCTACTGTACACAATTTAATTTAAAGAATTTTTAAAATGTGTTAGATTAGTCACCCGGTGTGATAAACCCTTACGTAAAAACCTTTGCAGTTATAAATAAACCTGCAGTTACAGATAAACCTTTGCAGTTATATAAATCAAGTACTATAATATAATATAATAGAAAGGTTAGAAGTACGAAATAATTTAATAGATTACTTCGTACTTCTAATCCTAATCTTTATTATTATTATTATTTTTTTTGTCCGGGTATCACCGGGCTCATCTGTTAGTATTTTATAATTTAACGTATGTTGCTTCATTGCTATATAAGAAATATAGATAAAGTTATGCAGGAAAATTAGCCATAGAATATATTTTGTCAAGGAAATTAAGTTCAATATAAGACGGTCAGAATTCTCAGCACGTGACTTACATTACACATTACACCTTCCACCTTAAAATATTCAGAAATTGCAAAAATATTGTAAATAGAATTAAAAAATATATATAAATAAAATTTTGTTGGTGTTTCCCGTCATTAAATTAAATTTTCTTGGTACAGTATTTCTATCTCCCTTGATGTGTTTTAATGAGTGTTTACATTATTTTCTTGTTAAGATAGTGTTTTGATANTGCAAAAATATTGTAAATAAAATTTAAAAAAATATAGAAATAAAATTTTGTTAGTGTTTCCCGTCATTAAATTAAATTTTCTTGGTACAGTATTTCTATCTCCCTTGATGTGTTTTAATGAGTGTTTACATTATTTTCTTGTTAAGATAGTGTTTTGATAAGTGTAATATTATTATTTTTAATTAATTCTCTACGGGAAAATATAAAAACAAGAATTGCTGGTGACAAGCAGCTGAGTATGAACGATAATGACGCACTTCGTTTTATATGTAACGAACTATGTCATTGGCCCGCGTACTTGATGCCTGCTACTCGTTATCGCACAGTCGTCGTCGTCTGTCTGTAACGCTCTGCGGAAAAAACACGTTTATTATTAGAAAGTATTGCTATTAAGATTTTGGTTTAAGAGCTAAACTATTCACTAGAATATAATTTGGGGTTTAAACGATATTCGGAAATAAGCAAAGCGTGTAAGTCGTTAAGCAATAAGCGACGCGCGCGACGTGTCACTCGTAAAAGCTTAATTAAAATAAATTGCGAAGCTTTATAATTATTAAAATCTTAAGATTTAGCTACGTTTCAATTAAAACTAACAAATAAGTAAGAATTATATACAGAAATAATTATAATATTTTGTATTTAAATAAATGACGCTTCGATGAAAGCGATATCGCGTCGCTCTTCTAAAAAGCTCTATTTTAAATGAATTTTTGCGATATAAACTGTAATCTAAGTGGTGCTAATTGTAAAAAAAGTTAATTACCAAAATGCTGTTTTAAAATTGCATTTAGATAAGAATTACTTTTTTTAGTTTATTCGCTGTTTAAGCTGTAATATTTGTTCAAACTACGCAATGACGCGTGTAGTTTAATTTGATGCTACAGTATTACGTATAAGCTAAACAAATTATAGCTTAGGGCCTCACATCTAATTAGGGCATCAGCATCTCAGATTATATATGGCCCATTATTGTTTAATAAAAAAGGAAGGGTCATTTGTATGTTGTAGCGCAGGGCACAAGACTAAATCCAGCTGTATTTTAATCTTATTGAGCTGCAATTTTTAAATTACAAACTTGCTATCTACTAATCACTTTAATTCTTATAGGTTGATTTTTCTCCCAGCAAACGGTCCTGGTCAAATGACGAATGATTTTATTGTTACAACGAATGCATTTCGGGCTAATGTAATGTTTTAGCCCCTCTTCAGTGATATGAGAGAATTCAAAAACTAAAGCTCCGGTGCACAAATTTCAAGACATGGAGTATAAATAAAGTGGAAAAATATCACACACAGTACTTATAAAAATAGTACCTTTAAATAAGACAGTGGTAAATTATTTTATTCATATCAGAAATTTTTTTAATAAATACTATTTAATCACTGATATAGGAACTTTTGCTAGGGACTGGAAGTCACATGACTTTTTAAATTAAAGTATGATTAAAAACTTCAGCCCGACATTGTGACGACGTGAGAATAATATATTCTTTATAATTATCACTTTTTAAAAATAAATATTTAATTAATCTAAACCAGGTAAAAATTGATAGAGGATAAATTTAAAGATAACTGAAAACGCGCAAAAACACGAGGAAATTTCGTGGAGATTTTGATAATTTATGTTAAATAATACATTATAAATATTTTAAACTTAAATAAATAAAACTTAATTATAGACGAAAAATTTCCAGAAAAATCAGAATAAATTATAATTTATTTAAGTAAAATTTTCCTTAAATTGTGATTAATTTATTTAGAAGTTAAATACAAGAGTGTACGTGTATTAAAAATATACAGCCTTAAAATACACTTGTTTTAATTTTTTAAAATAACTAAATTAATTAAAAACATCCAGGACTATGCTAAGCGTACGCATTAATTGGTGCAATGGTTCAATAACCAGTTTTTTAAACTACACGTGTACTGTGTCGTCACAGAATTTCCCCAAGTCTCATTTGTTTTTCCACGTCACATGACTCTCGTGTTATCTAACGTATTAAAGGCACAGCCCATGCAGTTGAACAGTAGAACGAAGCAGAATGAACGAAGCCGTTAGAATTGCTTTGAATGTGTTGTATATGTTGTATTTATGGATCGAAGGAATTATACTGGTATTCATACCGAAACGTTTCTTCTATAAAGACTTAAATGGCGAAGTAGTATTGATTACAGGAGGTGGAAGCGGTATCGGCCGTCTACTAGCGTTGAAACTCTCACGTCTGGGTTGTCGTGTGGTAATTTGGGACGTTAACGAGGAAGGTAATCGCGAAACACAGCAACAGGTGAAGAGCCAAGGAGGTGAATGTTATTCGTATGTGTGTGATGTCACCGACAGAGAGAAAGTTTACGCTGTGGCGAGTAAAGTGAAGGAAGAAGTGGGTCCAGTCACTATACTTGTTAACAATGCTGGAATCGTAACGGGGAAGAAGCTTTTAGATACACCCGATCATCTTATCGAGAAGACCTTTCAAGTTAATGTAATAGCGCATTTTTGGGTGAGTTTTAGTAGGATTATTCGTTGAAATTGATTGTAACGCGTAACGGTTTGGATTTAGGTCACATTCACCTAATATGTTGCTTGTTCTGTCGTAACGTTATTTGTATACGAAAAAGTATCAAACTTACAGTTTGATATTTTTTCGTATACAATTTAATTTTTACATATAAATTTTCGTATACAAATTTAATTTTTTAAATAGCTTTAGTGAAGTAATTAATGATGAAGGAAGGAACGTGTTCCTGAATTGGATTGTTAAAACTTGAAATTAATATATTACAGTCGAACCTGTCAGCAACGGCCACCTCTAAACAGCGGCCAATTTTTAGGAGATTTAAACAAACGCATAAACGAAATAGTCTCCGAACAACAGCTATTTTTTTATGTTCTCGTCAGTGGCCGTTGTTCAGAGGTTTGACTGTATTAAGTAGTCGTTTCTAGCAGTTTTTAAGCGAGAAATTAAATGGTAAAGCTTTAAAATGTGAAAAATATTTAATTATTTATAAAAATTTGATCCATTGATAATTTATATCCTTTAATAAAATATATCAGGGATGCAACAAGGGGGACAGGACGAGCGTATGTCTCGTGTGCCACTTAAGGGGAATTATTTATCGGCACCAGTCAAGGGGATTCCGAGAGGAAAGAGGCAGTGGCGTCGACTGATCATGTGTCGTCAACAAGAAAGGACGGTCGGAGATCTTAATTCGCTCCGAGTGACATAGAGCCTAATTGGGTATATAGGTGGTGACATAGACCCATGGATATATAGCCAGGGGTACAGCTAGGCTCTACAGTTCTTGAAAATCTACAAAAATTGCTCTACTTTTATGAGTTATGCTCATGATCGATATAAAAATATTTTAAAATTAGAAAATTACTTCATATGCGTTCAATAATATCGAGTCCTGGAGTTTAAATTCTGAACAAAATCAATTTTACCTTTTCAGAAATCGAAACTATAACAGGAAATTGCGTAAATATTTTACTTACTAATATTTAAGCTATTTTTTCCCTTATAGCACCGAGAAAAACTATAAATTTATATTTAATGCAATAAATTAAAAAGAATAAACTCATTTAAATTTTATTGCATAACCATAAGTAAATTTTTTACTTAAGAAACCGCACCATTCGTTCTGCCAATCGTATAGCACCTCAATTAAACCACTTATATTTCAAAATAAATTTCCTATCTAAATTTTATACGCTATTTACGCTTATAACACAGTATACAGTAAATTTATTTAGAATCATAATTGTAAGTTATTATAAATATGTTAAAAATTACTAAAATTATGTAATCATTTTATATTTGGCGCTATCATTCCTGTATTCTTCTAAATCATACAGCAAACATTAATCTGTTAAAAATATATTTTATAGTTCAACAACTTTTGTAAATTAATAAATAATTCATGTAAATTTTCAGACATTGAAAGCCTTCCTACCGGATATGATAAGTGCCAATCATGGTCACATCGTGACGATTTCTAGTTTGGCAGGATTTTCGGGAATAAACTATTTATCTGATTATTGCGCCAGTAAATCAGCTGCCATCACTGTTCATGAATCTCTGCACTTCGAATTAAAAGAAGAAAAGCGTGAAAATATTAAGATGACATTGATTGCACCGTTCTTCATTAATACAGGGTTGTTCGAAGGAGCTGATGGAGGGTATGCTTCTTCCTTGGCTTTTTCACTTATTTTTTTTTTAATAATTTTCTATTATAATTTATTTATTATGTCCCTCTGTTAGTCTAATAGACAATTCCCTCATTTTATAAGTCTATATATTATTTATTTTTTGTATTTTCGACTTTTTATGCCATTATACGTGCGATTATTCTGCCACTTATTCTGGCACAAAATACTTTACAGTTATAATATTTTATAGAAAATATTTTAGAACAATTCTAAACAATATAAAAATTATAATTTCAGTTATTTTGCATTGTTGGATTCCGAATATGTTGCAGATAACATAATATCGTCGGTGAGATCTAATCAAGAAGTCGCCATAATTCCAACGTACTTCAATGCCATTACAATGATGAAAGCGTAAGTTTATTGATTCAAAATCTAATGATGTTTTATAAAATTAAATTTTTTCTAATTTTTAAACATATTTAGCTTAATGCCATTAAGAGCCTATACCGTATTTTACGACTTATTAAAAGGATTTAATGCCATGAAAAGTTTCGTTGGAAGAACGGAAAAGAAAGAGAAATGAATATATTCAGGTCATATAATATATATTTTTTGTTCAGCTATTATTTTTTATATGCCGAAGAATGGTTTATAATCCGGTTATAATGAAGAATAAAAGTTTTATTTGTTTTACCAGTTGTTTAATTATGTCACTGTCTGTTTTTAATGGCAATTTCGCAATTAAAACTGCCTTAAGTCATAGATTTAGAGCGACTTTTAAAGTAAAATTACCCATTTAGATTATAGAATCACATAGTTGGGGGCCTTCGAATGCTCGTACGGGGCCTGTGTTAGAGTGATCTCTTTTACCCCTTAGTTGGCCATTTTGCCGTATATTTTTGAACAAGTGAAGTACATAGAAGCTTTTTTTAAGTGAAAATGACATTAATTTATGTTTATACAGTTTTTGTACTTAAAATTAGAAAATAAATTAGAGCGACTTTTAGAAATATATATTTAGAAATACATAGACCTTAGAAATATGTAAATTTTCTAACGTTTTAATACATAAAAATAAATTTTACGAGTGTAAATAATTTAGCTTCGAAACACAGCTGAAGGATTAAAAATTTCATACAGATACATTAAAGTAATAACTACATCTACTTTCACATCTGTGCTATTTATTCGCTTGTTTCAAGGTTTTCAAAAACAAATTATTTATATTTTTTTCCTATAAAAATTCAAACAATTATTTATATTTTTACCTATAAAAAAATTCAAACAATGACATACTATTCATTTCTTTACAATTATTCACACTAGAGCAACAGTCAACTAATTAAACCGAATTTTTTACTTTCGCAGCTGTCATAAAGAGGGAAAGTATGGCTACGTTGAAAAAAGATGGTCTCCTTCCCAAGATTTTTACATTTTGTACCTTCAAACGTCGAAAAACGCGAGAGTTTTCTATATGTATGCGTGTGTCGGGGTCAGAATTTTGTTTACCCACTTTGAACCTTAACTCCTGTGCTTTTTTCCGAAAATTTCTGAAAGTTTGCAGGGAGGTTTGAGTATTAGGGGGATTGATGCTATTAAATTTTGGTGGTTTTAGGTCGACGGAATGGAAAGATAGAGGGAGTCACGTGTCATATGGTACAGTAGGTTAGGATTTAATGATTTTATTCATCAGCATTTACAGTTTTTAATATAAAACCTGTTTCTACCTTCAAAATTAATATTTTTGCTATTTTATTATAATTAATTATATAAAAAGTTTTTAAAATAAAATGTAAGAGATGGCACCACGAGAATTTTAAATTTTTTGCCGGTAAGGTTACGTAACTCTTTGCTGGATTTTTTAAAATAGGATACGAAAAAACTGCTGAACTGGTTTCGTTAAATAAGATCAACTTGCAAAGTTTAATTACATCACAATATTTTATTGTAAAAAATTTAATTTAAATTAGGGTAATTTTAATGAGCGGCAAACAAACGGGTTAAGTACAGTACTTTAGCCTTTACATGAATCGAAGTGTTAACTAAACGTTTCGATATTTTGAATATTTTTTACACATGAGTGGGTGCAGGCTTTAAACAAATGTTTATTATTTAATAAACATTTGTTGCACCCCTGCTGATTCACATTACGTGTAATTTTCCAGGTTTCCTTGTAGAATTCCGCTTTATCCGAATTAATTTGTTCTGCAGGTGATTCAGATAATCGAAAATTCGGATAAGTGGATTAATGCGCAAAGAATGAAATTACAGGGTAGAAGCACAGTATTGTACACGTACTGTATTTTTTTTATTCATCAATGTGCGAATAACATTGCACTGATCATTTGGGTCTGTCACAGCAAATAGAGAATGCTTTCGCGTGACGTATGAGAATTGCTGTCTGACGTCAGTGGGAGAGAGAAAAGAAGGCAAGAAAGGACAATTGACATTTTGGTTAATCTGCGTTCGGATAATCGAAGTTCAACTGTAATTAAGAATAAGCTTCAATCATTGCAATCTTAACAGACTTTATTCATAAAATTAAATTAAAGGAATTCCTTTTGTTTTATTTAAATGTTTTCATTATTTCTACTCATAGAAAAAATAACCTTGATCTAAAACTTCTGATCTTATTATCCTCACTATTTATATAAATTCTGATATAAAATAGTTGATAATACTAATATAAGAAGTGAGACGAAGCTTGGGTCAATCACTATAGGGCCTGTCGGGCTTTTAATTTTCTAAACTTCACAATTTTATTATATAGGCCTATATTATGACGTGGGCCCTATATATGCTTGACCCACAGGCCTACAACTGGGTTTTTTTTCTTGACATCGCTATATAAAAGATTAAATTTTAAGCCCTTCTATGCAGGATACAGCTGAAATAGCCCTGATCTATTAAAAATCTGATTATCTAAAATCTACTATTAGATAAGTGAAATAGTATATAAATGATATAAAAGGGTACACAAATAGAAACAGCCCTATACGACAGATTATACGTGACACACGTATATCCTGTCATGACAGGTACTATTCTATTTCGGATTACGTTGCTCCCGTCTACTCATCCATTGTTAAATAAACATTTTGTCATATAATATTTTGTTCATGGCCGAATGATTATATATGTAGTCACTTGATACTCTATTTTAAAGTGTAGACATCAATAAATGCATTCAAACCTCTTAAGAACGGCCACTGACGGAAATAAAAAAATTGCCGTTGTTTGCGGATATTTATATAAATTTCAAAGAAAAACGTTCCTGAAAAATTGCCGTCGTTTAGAGGTGGCCGTTGTCGGAGATTCGACTGCGTTATCGTCAGAATCGATGAATAACACCAATTTTCAGGAAACAACACTCAACTGTTGGCCATATGGTGAAATATAAAACTAATATTACGACTTAGGTTCTTATATTAAGAGTCTGAATTCTCTAAGAAATATTTGGTTTTATTTAAGAAAAAACAGAAACATCGCCAGTCTCTAATATGAGACTTAGATTATCATACTGTATTATCTCCTTTCCTCTTCAGTGTTTACTCTATATCCCTTACATCGTGTTTATGATTTGGGTCGAGTAAAGTAGAAAACGAACCAATTTTTACTACAAATAATTAATTTTTTGTATTGCTAAAAAAGCAATACAAAAAGACCTTACAATGCTTCAGTCAAAATGTAAAACACATTCTATTCGTTATTGAATCTTGTCTCTATCTGTCAGTCATTACTATTATCCACGCTCTTACTACTTTCCTAGTAATACGAAGTAGTTTTCACTTTCATTTCTTCCTTTTATTATGAAGCTGACAAAATGTCATCCTGTTTTCTATTATAACATCATTAAATAGCCGAAACAATTCATTACGAGTCGTCCTTGTTCGTATGTAAAGTGTAAATAATGAAATAAAAGACGTTACAAGAAATTATAATTAAGTGCAGGAAATTGTTTAACATTTCCTAAGCTTTGTTCATTTTATAAATTTAATGTAAGTTGTACACTATCTTTAATTAGATAAATGAAGTTATTTTCTGCTTCAGTTCAAATCTGTGTAATTAATTCTGAAGAATTCTTAGTGAAATCTAACAAAGAACTAATTGTTCTCTATTCCATCGATATTATGACCACAGTATAATACAGAAACAAACCCGTACAGGCTGCTCAAAAAATGTTAATATTTATGTAGAGAGTGCTCAATCACTGCGGTAGTGTGGTAATAGGACTGTACAGTACTTTTTTCAGAACTTCGCAATCAGGAGTCATGACTTCTTGCGCACGATGGAATACCACACAGAGGAAAAGTCCGGCATAACAAGTTACTGTACTTCCATATTGGGATTTTAAGATATTTTGAAGCAGCAATTATACATCTTCCTCTTACAAGCTACTGATATACTGAGATGACGGAATGTAGTAGATATGACATTATATAAATTTATTAAATTTACTCTATTTTATAACTATTTTTATGAATAGAACGAGGCTTCTCGTAACGTGAGGTCTGCCCTGAGCTATAGCTTGTTTAACTTATGCGTAAATCTGGCTCTGCTAGTAAACACTAGTGTCATATGACAAAAATAGAAAATATTTGCTTTGAGTAAGTGACAGTTTCATACTTTGTAATAAATATAATTAATGTTAACTGATGCATGCAATGGTTTTTCTATAACATCAATGGTTTTTATGAGTAGTGAATGAGCTAACCACCTGGTTCGTGTGGATAAAAACCACTGAACACTGGTAGTTGGTCGCGGGTTCGCATCTCGTCAACGAGCCAGTCACAGAGTTTTCTGGGTTCTCTTCACGTTTGTAACACCTAAATAGGTATCAGTTTCTCATAAAAGTCCTTCCTTTCCTGGTGTCGCATTGGCATAACCAAATAAACCTAAACCTTGTATTAAAAAATCATGGTAAATTGTTCATAAAGTTAATTGATAAGGAAAGAGCTGAAATTCCATCAAATAACAGCAGCGTAGTCTGTATGTAGCAAAGTCTCCAACGACAGAGGTAAGTCTTTTATTACATCAAGACTTTTCCATGTACTCTACTGTACATAACGAATAGCAAGGAGCAAATCGAAAGTTCACTATACTTTGGCCCTTCATCAATTTTAAATAATCAAAAACGAAAAATATACTTACTAATTGGCATAAACGTTAAAAATTGTGTAAATTTAAGCCTTAACTTCAGAAGAAAAACGGCTAAAATACTGTGGTAATGAATTTAATCTGTATATAAGAGTACAGAACTAAACTTTAAACTTGATATTTGTTAAATTCTTATCAATTAATAGAGAATCGACGATAATATTACGAAAGACTGAAACATATCTTGCCTGGTAGAGGATTTGTTGACCTCTTTTAAGCTGGCATAAAATAGTTAGCAGAATGAATTAGAACTAATTAAAAATGAGTGCCATTTAAATGTTCAATTTAAAAATCAAACAACGTGTTGCTTAACTTTCCCGTCAATATTTAAAATTGAGTGTGGCGTCATCTGTTATGATATTTTATTTTAAAAACTTTTTATTCTCTTAATTATTATAAAATAGCAAAAAGCTTAATTTTGAGGGCAATGATAGTTTTATAAAAAAATTGTAAATGCTAATAAGAAGTAAAATTGTCCTATAGCGATCCCACTCGAGATACGACACACGACCCCTTTATCTTCCCACCCCTTTGAATT